TATTTGTATAACCAAAAAATATATATGCAATTTACTGCTTATCCTCTATTTTTCTTATATCAATAATGTATTCTAAGATGCATATGTATTACGGGAAAACTGATAGATATTCTAAATGACAGCTCGGTCGAAGTTGAAAAAGCAATCGGCTTCAAATTGGATTCATCAGAGCGCTACGCTACTGTAGCGATGTTAAATTATGATTACTTATATTAATAATTATAATATTTTAAATACCAAATTATGCAATAAATACCTACCATTGTTATATGTTTTGTTTATTTGAAGAGCTGTGATTTTTTAATAATCTTGCAAGCAGAAAATGCAGGGTTATTTTACAATAACTGGCCAAATTCGCAGATATGGTTTAGGATATAATATAGGCAAATGAAACAACTCTCTGAAAACCCTGTAAAAGCTGGGCACAGACCTCCTCTCATTTTTGAGTCCACGAATTTTTTTTCTTATTTCTCAAATCTTCACCGCCGAGCACGTGCAAATCAGCACTTAAAATTGCAATTAACAATTTATTTGGACCACCGGGTCGCGCGAATTCATTATTCTTTTTTATCAGTATACCTATTTGTATATTTGTGCTCTCAATGTACAATAATATGAAAAATATGTAACGTACAAAATATAAAAATAAACGCTTTTTTTTTAAATCACACAAAATTCACAGCTGATTCAGTCAATCTGTCAGTAATTATTTTTGTCAAAATCTTAAAGTAAACATCATCGGTCACGGCCCATACATGCTGTGACCTGGCTATAAAATATCGTGAACATGATTAGTGTATGGATTAATCCGTTCCCCCTGGGTACAACTTAAATCCTTAATTGAAAATGTATTATTTAAAAGCCGAGGATCATAGAACCTTACACTTATGTATTTTGTCTCTTTTGAGGTTATGATGTAGCCATGACTGCAGCCATGACTACATCCTCAGCTAAAACAATTGATATGAAAACTATGCAATATACTTAACTATATAAGTCAAGTCAATGGCTAAAATCACAAAAATGAATGAATAACCTTCCTAGTCTTTTCACTGCTAAGTATCTAAGATACAGGTGCTTTGACTTTTGCTCACGCTTTGACAGCTCTCGTGTCCACAGATTGCATAGAGACACTCATAATATGTTCCGTTCTAAGTATTAGTGCATTCTATATTTACTGTCAAACTATCTTTTGCAACTTATTCCGGCATATTTTCCATATCCCCATCTAAAAATGATATTATTGATAATACACTACAAGAATAAATAAAAAATCTACAATAAAATCTAGTATTTAAAAAAAGTAAACGCATAATGGTAGTCTTACTTTAGTGTTATGATGACACACGTGTACCACAAATAAAAACGGGACGGGTTTAGATGCGTTCAAAACTTATAAAAGTAGTAAGGAAATAAGGATATTCATTACAAAGCTAAACTATTTTACCGACTTCCATAAAATAAGTTGGACCCCGTAATTTAATATAGACCTAAGTCACTACTTTTTGACGTATCTATCATTGGTGGTCGTTTCGCACTTTGGTCAGGTCGTATTTGACCGATGTTCTTTGCGACAATCTTTAATCTGTGCAACAGTTTGACCACAGCCTATTTTACCTTTGACATTGGCAGTATAAACAATAAATGTATATAAACAATAAATGTTTTAATTTATTTTATAACCAATTTGTAACAGTTTTAGCTTTCTGCGTTTCTTCTCCATATAAAATTTAACTATGCATAATGTCACACTTGTCCTTGCGCATAATATACTTAAAAATAAGTACAGACTTTAATATGATGAAAATACAACGCAAAATAATTTTTGTCATAAATAATTACCAATTGTTATGCAATACTTGTATATGTTATGCCCAGTTTTGCTGTGTAGCGGAGGCGTAAAATAATCCACTACCTCCTATCATACCGCTGGTATTGTAAGAGGACGCGGAGTGAAACTTATAATAGGAGTTGGATAGCAGCTCTTTTCCTGAAAAAATTCCATAATAAAAATAAGATAATGTAGTTGCTAACCCTCCTGCCAAGCGTGGAACCTATGGCAACTATGGAGGTGGCCTACGTTCAGCAGTGAAATTTTGTTGACCTGTAAATGAATGAATACAAAACACTTTAAATTATGAAACACTAATTCTAAAAGAAGCAGATCGATAGCTCAGTAATTATTCCTTTGAATTTGAGACGCTTTGAGTCGTGAGTTTGAATTTTGAATCTCGCGTGGAATAATTATTTCTATGCACTACAAATATTGGTAATATCACCCAGATCGAATTTCGGTAACGGCTGTCAGTCTCAACAGGTACTACACTAGTTCACTAGCACTAGTCCTACCGAGGAGTCCATTTGTGTTGGTACCGCTCTCTTACCTATTTCTGCCACCAAATAGCAATGCTTGCATTGTAAACAATTTGCAATTGCAACCTACGCTTAAATAAAATAGATGTGGAAGTTCTTCTCTGAACTCTAAAATTATATTCTACTGAGAATAATAAAACTGTTGATCATAACCATACTAAGTATTTATGTGCATTCATTTCTTCTCAACAGATTATCTAGAAAAGCTTAAAATAGCAGATTAATGCTGCTGTGTTTCGTAGAACCAGAGAACCCGTTTTCCGGAAACGAGGCATTCCATCTTAGTTCTCATGGGTGACAACGCATCTGCATTTTGATTCGTAATCGAGGATAGATGTAGATGTCTATGATCCACAGCAACCATATACAATCAGGTGCACTATGTGCTCGTTTGAAGCACGAAGATCAGTTTTAAGTGAAAATGTTCTATTGTTATCCCAAATACCGTTATATATAATTATATATAACGGTATTCTTGGAAACAATTATGTTGGCATAATTGAACATATCAATGTAGCAGAAACATTATACACAATTTTTTAAACTATCGGTAAAAAAGACAAATTAAAGTTCCGTAAAACAATCCGTGAGGATAAATAAGGATAGAGTACCCAAAGATTTAATTGTAAAACATTAAAATGCTTCAAATATCGGAAAACCCCGTTGAATATGTATTATATTGCGACGAAGATCTGATTTATTTTTAATAATATTAAGTAAAAAATTGGATAAATTTAAATAAAAAGAGTATAATTAATCAAGTAATAGTATTTTATTCATAATTTGGGAGTTATGTTGGTAGAGTCATAATTCACACACATACACATAATGTCACTTGACCACAAACTGACAATATAATTCTAGAAGTATTTATCAGAACCCTTTTTTACTATACGTAGTAGGGTAATCAGTAATTCGGAATAGTTCAGTAGTCAGTGTACACGTGGCTTAATAGTTACAATTTAGTAACAATTACAACGATTTCGTTACTTTTTTCTTAACTACGATTTCGATACGTACAATTATTTTGAGAAACACTTTGATAGGTCTTTGAGATTTCTTTACAGACATCTATACAATATTTCATCCGTTTGAACCAATTTTCTAAACGCCTATTCCAGTCCACCTTTGCGGATCTTCTGAAGACGAAAACATCTTTTAGATGATTTATTTTAATTTTAGGGGCATAAAAGAGTCACACAGCGACAAATTTTAACCGGTGTGCTGTTCAGGAAGTCCCTTGTTTTGAGTGCTGAGTGAACGGGCGCGTTGTTACAAGTATGGTCAATCAGTAGCCCGCGGAGCCTTGTGTTCTATTTGCTCGCAGCAGTTTACACATCTGACAAGCATTCGGCATTGATGGAACTTCGGTTTCGTACGGGATTTGACACCATATACCTACCTCGCTAAAGTACATAATTTAAAATTAAAAAAAAATTACAACAGACTTCAATATAAATTATTAAAAATAACTCAAAAACTATTCGTCAGACCTTGATCAAATTTATATGGGACCATGTGAGAAGTACCAGCTTTCAAATAAAAAAATAATCATCGAAATCGGTTTAACCAGATAAAAGTTATGAAGTAACACATATAAAAAAGAACACAGTCGTATTGAATACCTCCTCCTTTTTTAAGTCGGTAGAATAGAAACACTGGCCCCATCTTGCCTCCGTTTCTCGAACACTTCCTTTTGATTAGCGTTCGTTCATTTTGAAACAGTCAAACCGTCGACTAGCTCTTCGTTTCTGGGTCGTACTTAGACCAAAATAAACATAAAAACGGAACTCTGCCAAGTACCAACATGTAGCTAAAACTTTTTTATGTTTAATCATTTCTTATATTTACGCGAACACTACACATTTAAATAAAACTGGTTTTACAGATTTTATAGCGTATATTAACTTATTTTATATTCCGGACGTTTCGAGTACTTTACAGCACCCATGGTCACGGGGGGCGACTGAGGTGTTTGACGTCCCAATGTCACATAGTTAACCACGGCTACCTCCACATTTAAAATTATTAATTATTGTTCCGATCTACGCAGTACGACTTCATTTCATACTGGGTGCTGTAAAGTACTCGAAACGTCGGGAATATAAAATAAGTTAATATATGCGATAAGATCCGTAAAACTAGTTTTTTTTTTTTTATGTTTGATTTATATTGACACAAAAGGTGTAGTATCTATCTATAAGGTCAGTGATGCACAGGCTTATTAAGACTAGGGGCCACTCGGGCAAATTATGAACTGATGGCGGGCCGCCAGAAGTATAGGTAATTAAAGACAATAAAGAATTGATAATAATGTATTAAAATTGAAAAAGAATTTATTAATTTGAAGCGTGGCACTGCATAGTGCTTACAATCTTTTTTATATTTGGCTCAAATTTACTTGTAGCAACACGTAAAACTGCTTCCAAACTTACATTTGCAAGGCGGTTTCGATTTTTTGTTTTATTATTATTTAGTATTGAAAAGGTTTGTTCACATATTATATAGGTAGAAACAAATAAGCTGGCACATTTCAGAGCGTTTATGCGCAACTCTTTGTACGTATTTTTATCAATGCAGCGGTAAAAGTTCAGCAAGCGTCCTTCGTTGAATTTGTTGCATAAATTTTAGTCGTTTTGAATGTCGATAATTTCTAACTGCATTGACTCTGGCGCATTTTCAACTGAAATCGTGAAAGGATTACTGAATATGTCCAACAGAGGTTTCACTTTTTTAAACTCCGAAAATCTGTCTTGAAAAGATTGAATCAAAATATCTAACTTTTCTACATAATTGAAATTAATCGCAGTTTTGTTGAATTTTTCAGCCAGTTTCTTATAATTCGGAAAATCATTGTAATTTCCAGGATTCAATTGCGATCTGAAAAGTGTCAGCTTGCATTGAAAGGATGGTACTCGTACATGAGCGTAGAACTGGGATATCAGTTGATTTTTGCCTTGAAGCCGTGTGTTCAAGACATTCAAATGATTTGTAATATCAACTAAAAAAGCCAAGTCACACAACCTATCAGGATTTTTAAGTTCCGGGACATCCCTTTGCTTTTCCGCCAGAAATATTCCAATTTCTTCTATTAAATTTAGAAATCGTTCCAGTGTCAATCCACGACTTAGCCACCTTACTTCTGTATAATACAGTAAATCTCCATTCGCTTTCGATGTCATCAAGGAATTGTTTGAACTGCCTGTGATTGATTCCTCGTGATTTTATGAAATTTATAGTTGAAACTACCAGTTTCATGACATTTTGAAATTCAATTTTTTTAGAACAGAGGGCTTCTTGGTGTATAATGCAGTGAAACTGCATGAGATCTTCAGCGTTTATGTTTTTTTTTCTTGCAGATGCTTTTTCAGCAAAGTAACTAGCCCAGAATTGACACCAATCATCGAAGGAGCACCGTCAGTCGCAACTCCCGATAATTTTGAGAAGTCCAAATAAGTTTTTGAACACTCATCCAAAAGTGCATTGAGTATATCAACTCCTCTGGTTTGACCATTCAATGAACACATTCCTAATAACTCTTCTAAGACTACAAAATCTTGAGTAACACCTCGTATGAATATCAGAAGTTGAACTGTGGAACTAATATTTGTGGATCTTAGTTTTTTCATTTAATTGTTCCGCAATATTACCTGACAAAGACATAATTCATCTTTGGATAGTCATATGATTCAGTTGAATTTTCTCAAACTTTTTTGCTGCTTCTGGACACATTTTCTTAGCGGCAATTTCTATGCATTCTTTTACAAAATCCCCATCATTGAAGGGGCGACTTCGCTTTGCTATAATTCGAGAAATTTCATAACTAACTTCTGTAGCTGCTTCTGAATCTTGAATGGGTTTTGTAAACATAGCTTGCTGACCAATAAGTTCCCGTTTTAAAGACAGCATTTTTTGCTTTCTTAATTCGCCTGTAAACTTGGTAAAAGTAGGATGCTGCGTTTCATATTGCCTTTTTACATTATATTCCTTTGCAATCGCAACAGAATTCTTGCAAATTAAACAAACGACTTTGTTATGCACCATACAAAAAAGTATTTCTCAGTCCAAATTTCTTGAATCTGTCGATTTTCATCTTTAACCTTATGTTTTTTACTAGGTCCTGGCTTGTCCATGTTGCGTTCTAATCCTGGCTAGGATTAACACAGCACCTAAAAACAATTACAGTACCTACTTAAATTACCCATCCTTTTTTAAATTACCAAAAATAATTGATTAAATAGATAGGGAAACACTTATTAATAACAGAGTTTTACTTACGATTTCACAACACAATTATACACGGCACTTGACGGGAAATCTACGTTGAATGTGGATCAAAATATATGACACCGGTTAGAGGAGTTAAAATCTACACTAGAACTATTGACACTTCACTCAAATTAAAACTGAACTGTCGGTCGCTGCGGTTAGCGTGGCTTTTATACCGCGTCTAAACCGCGTATAGAGTCGAAAACTGTCTAGAGAAATCACGAAACCGACTCTGGAAGATTCGTGTATCTACCTACGCGAGCAATCGGGAATTCGGGACTATTGCTATCTCGCTTGCTCTAACAAAATAACCCGTGGATAAGCCGCCACCGCGCTCCCGTCGTCGCCGCGCCGCCGGCCGCGGCGCGGTTCCTCAAGAAAACGAATTTAACCGAGATCAGCACGAACATTACCGACCGCTGTTACCGACGCATGCACGGCGCACCGATAAGCGCACTTAAGAGCACGCGCGCGACATTCAAATTACTTTTCGAACATATTTTTTTTGGTTTTATTCTGGGATATAATTCAATATTTTTCGAATGTACGAGAGTATTATTTTTGCTGTCGGCGGGCCATCAGTATTCGACTGGCGGGCCGCATGCGACCCGCGGGCCGCGGTCTGTGCATCTACGTAATTAGGTGGACCACGATAGCTTTAGAGATACCTTAATTGATAACATATGCGCTTATCCATTACACCAAACAATGAGATTGAATTAATAGAAAGTGTAAGAATATAACATAAATATTATAAATACCGAGTAGAAATACTACAAAAAAATGTATTAATTCAATATATAAAATAAAAACTATCTATATTATGTTGGTGTGCTGGAGAGAAATAACGCTTACGCTTAAGATCGTAATAGAAACAAAGAATCGAAGTTCTACAAAAAATCCATGAAACCATTTATCTAACATTTATATTTAAGTAAGCAGGCAGTATGCCTGCTTACTTAAATATGCTTCAAAAAGTATTTTTAACCAATTAATGATTAGATATTATTTGAACTACAAAATATTGATCCCTATAAATATAACTTATTACATCATAACAGCTACGTTATAGAGATAAGATTTGCCCTTTGCAGCAAGTACCTTATGTCATTTGGTTAAATACTTTAGTAGATAATATAAAATCACAAGTACCGTGAGGGTGGTGTATGCATGTCCACTACCCCATTTCATTCCGTGGGTATCGTAAGAGGCGTAAAAGGAAAAATAATAACAACTGAAAAATAAAATAAAAAAAACTGCGCAAAATATACCTCTATCTAGGCAATCTATGGGGCTGACTTATGTTCAGCAGTGGACTTTTAACAGTCTTTAATGGTAACGGTAATACACGAAATACCACTGGAATACGCGTTTTAAAGTTGTGGATGTTTTAACGACAGCCAGCACTTGTGGTGTTGCGAATGTGTACGAAAGCTTTCCCGTGGCCCTGCCAATATGCGGCGAAGGTGGAGCACCTTGGGGTTTTAGTCGGTGTAAGTTCAACACAACCTATAATATAAAAAATATACTCATCTATAGATTTGGATTTATTAGATTAATATTTGATCGACCTTGCTTTGTGTCCAATATAAGGTAACACATCGCATTTGACTTATTGTTATACTTGCGTGCCCATGGCAGATTGAATCTGCATCTACATCGTGTACCTAAGTCTTTACAATCATTGTTTCATCATTAACAACTTATGAACAGTCTACTGCGGCACACCAATCTAGGACGATACGTTTATATTCAGTATATCCATTGAAAGACAAGGGATGCACATCCCAATTAATTTCTGAGTGATTGACGCAAAGTCCCGGCTTACTGAGTTCCACTCAGTTCATAAGGTACTTCGGGTAATGGTAATGGTACAATAATATATTTCCTTTTTCTTCTTAATTTCTATCATCTCATGCATTTTAATTTCACCTCCTCACTTTTTCCTGTACCTTTAGTTAATGACCATAAATTCATCTGAAAAGCTATGTTTACACAACTCACACGGTACCAGAACAAGGTAAGAGTATTTAAGCGTATTAATTGTGTAATGATATCCAGGTGTGGACTTTATATCGTAATCAATGAATATCCTTCCCCCTTTCTTAAAAGTGTAACTTTTAAAGAAAGGCCCTTGTTCAGTATATGATTGAAAAGGACTGTTAATATTGTGTCTTGATGACGTAATATTACATGAAATGATTATTTCGTAGTCCATTCTCAAGAGACGACGTGCAATCATCTCATAATTTCTTACACTACCACTTCGCATCTTATGGCTTGGCATGGTCATATTCACAGGGTGTACTTTGAGTATGGTATGTCCATTTTACAATATAGCTTTTACTTCGTAAATACGTTATTTGTTTTTCTATACCTACTATAAACATCTAAAGGTTTTGTTTATCACACTTCGTTGGTAAGAAATTGTTTATTTATATCGGTCACTATCCGCAACCCTTGACACTGGCGAATTTGAAATCTATGAGCCCGTGTTATTCCGTTGCTGATTACTGTTGTTCACGTGAATGGCCGATATAAATTCGGACTGCCCTGTGTACATTTCACATTGTTAGTCAGCCAGCGTTTATAGAAACAAGTTATTAAGTAACATTTACTGTTACTCTAATTTCCGTTTTTTTTCCTTTTTATAAACTATATTCACGTCAACATGAATTTTCGAGCAATATTCTTCTTTGTATTTGTAAGTATATTTTCATTAAAAGTGAAAACTAATTAGCTGAGATCCACATCCATATTATGCTTTTATAGTTGCATGCATTGAATAACACCACCCTTCCGTTATCGCTTGCACTATCACTGCCACTACCTACTGAACATTTTAACCCGTTCGCTTCAATATCAACGTACGAAGTTACTGTTTAACATTATTTTCTTTATCAATAACTTTGCTTACTGTGTGGTGCCGTGTAGTGGCGGTTAAGAATATCCACTACCCCATATCTTCCTGTGGGTGTCGTAAAAGGCGACAAAGAGAAACAGTCAGGAGATGGGCAGCAGCATCTTCCTGATAATAGCAAAAATATAATAAAAAAACTGCGGTTGCAAACGCGCTCGCCAAGCGTGGCAACTATGGCAAATACCCCCAAATGGATAAAGTTACTAAGAGACGGCCCCCAGTCCCCGGCGGCCCCGCTATTCCTGGCTACGGTGGCGACCATGGTAACGGCGGGGCAGGGGCTGCTAAGAATCTCCGGTGGAGGTTCGGTTGCCACCTACGACGACTCGATCTGGCAACATACAACGCACGCACCCTGAGGACTGACGAGAAGATCGACTGGAGCTGGAAGAAGAGATAGACAAGTTACGCTGGCATATTGTAGGATTATCCGAAGTCCGAAGTGAGGGGGAGGAAACGGTAATCCTCGAATCCGGCAACTTGCTCTATCACCGGGAGGGCGACCATTTGTCTCAAGCAGGTGTCGGATTTATCGTCCACAAGTCTCTCGTTAACAACGTTGTAAAGATTGAGAGTGTGCCGACGAGGGTTGCGTACCTTATACTCAGACTCACCTAACGGTATTCGCTGAAGGTCATACAGGTTTACGCACCAACCTCGGCACACCCCGATGAGGAGGTGGAGGAAATGTATGCAAACACATCTAGAGCAATGCATTCCTCCAAAACCCAATATACGGTGTTAATGGGAGACTTCAATGCAAATCTAGGCACAAGAGAGAATGGTGAGCTGAAAGTAGAGAAATTTGGAATAGGGCAACGGAACCCAAGGGGCCAGCAGCTGGCCGACTTCATGGAGAAAGAGGGACGCTTTATGATGAACTTTTGACAAAAAATGAAATTGACTTCATTATGACGACCAGACGACAACTGTTCAGTGATATCTCAGTGATCGCGAGGATGAAAACCGGCAGCGATCACAGAATGGTTAGAG